ACAGGATTTAACAGGACTAAATCCTTCTCGTCTTCTATCAATAATATTTTTAATTTGGTTCAGTAAAATCTGGACTTTTTTATTTTCTTTTATCAGACAAAACATCTTATGTTACAATTTCCTCGTCTTTGTTTCTCTACAGCAAATCAAGTAATCCAAAGTATTCAGATTACATTACTCACCTTAAGTAACTTAATGGATTACGTTACAAACTACATTTTGGTGTATGTAATCTGTAATCTGTAGGGGATTACATTTTAAAAGTCACCTTCCCAACACTGATGACTACAGACACATAAAGCAGCTCCTCTATCAAGTTTACTCACCAGGGAAACTTGAATTGTGGATACGTCACGGTGAAGTTTTCAGCTGCAGCTAAAAGAGCAGGACTAGAGGACAAAACTCTACAAGTTAAAGTCTAAAATGTAAATAAATGGATCAGTAAACTTGTGTCTCACTTTGGTAAATCTGTTTCTTTCTCCAGAGGCACCAGGAAAACACCTGACAGGTTTGGACTGAATCTGAGAAGTTCATACACGGCCCCGTCCGATACCTACAAAATAAATCATATTATTTATAGGGGTGTCAAATTATCGCGTTAATTGCGATTAATTAATTACAGTCATATTTAGCGCGTTATGTTTTTTAATCGCGTTAATCTCATTTTTAATCTCTAACTTTACTGTTTCTGTATGTGAGTTGCTTTATTATAAAACCTGTTTTTATAAACACACACACAAAACACATTTATACATTTTTTTATTTCGGTAATTCCACTCATTGCCGGAAACCCACACAAAACGTGCGCAGTAACAGCGATGTAAACGTCATGTTAACGTTGGCGGCGTCAGGCACAATGGACGAGGTGGAAGAGCCAGTAGAACAGAGCAGCAGTGCACAGGTAAAAACACATTTGTGTCTTGGAAATTCTTCTCCCGATGTGAAATATAAAAGAAAATAAATATAAAATTGCCTACAACTTAAATGTCACTGGTGAAAACAACCTGCATAGACTCATGATGTCTGCACTACTGTCCTATACACACACACACACACACACAACACACACACAAACACAAACACACACACACACACACACACACACACACAAACACACACACACACACAACACACACACAAACACACACAAACACACACACAAACACACACAAACACAACACACACACAACACACACACACAACACACACTTCATCATCGTCATTAACCTGAGAACGCGCGGACCACGTTTCCTTCCGTAGTTACTGCGCGGACACCGACGAGCTCCCGTGAGCCGCGTGTGGATCGTGTTTTTCTCACGCTTCTTCCTCCTGTGAGCCTCTAAACCAGAACTAACACCAAGACTAAAACCAGGACTAATCCAGTCCAGGACTAAACCAGAACTAAAACCAGAACTAAAACCAGGTCTAAACCAGGTCTAAACCAGGACTAAACCAGCACTAAACCAGAACTAAAACCAGAACTAAAACCAGGTCTAAACCAGGTCTAAACCAGGACTAAACCAGAACTAACACCAGGACTAAAACCAGGATTAATTCATTCCAGGACTAAACTAGGACTAAAGTAGGACTAAAGCAGGTCTAAACCAGGACTAAAACAAGGACTAAAACCAGTGATCTCATATATAAAGCATTTGTCTATCAATAATATGTTTAATATGGTTAAGGAAAGACTGGACTTTTTATTGTCTTTAGACAAAAGTTATTATGTTCAGATTTCCTCGTCTTTACTTTACAGCAAACAGTTTCTTATTCATGGAGACTTGGACTCAATATCCAATTTGGAGAGATTTGTTAAACAATAAATGACTTTATAAAGTCACTTTTTTAATCTATATCAGTCTTTTGATCTGCCACAATAATGTAATAATGAATTTAAATGAAAATACCTCAAATTGAAGCTTTTTTCAGCAATTTTTAGGTGAGATTAAAATGAGATTAATTAGATTAATTAATTACAGATCATAATTAATTAATCTCTCAATTTTTTTTAGCGCATGACAGCACTAATTATTTAGTATGTATATAGTAAAGTTTATATAGTGCTTCTCACAGTAACTCAGACACTTCACAATAAAAAGGACAGGACAAACAAACTCAAGTAGTGAGGAAACTGTAATGTTTGGGGCTTACAGGCTGTGAGGAAAAGGTGATCTCTAAACTGTTTTTTTTTGTTTTTTTTGAAGGTTTTTAGTGAGTTTCTGATGTGGAGGGAGAAAGTTCCAGAGAGTTGGGGGGACAATGGCAAAGGCTCGGTCCCCCAAGGTCTGGTGCTTTGCTTTGACTGTGGGCATGAGGAGGTTTGAGGAGCTGGTCAGAGCCTGCAGGAGGCGCTGGGGCTGCAGGAGGTCAGTGAGGTGTGCAGGGGCCTGGTTATGGACGGACAGAATGTGCTGATGAACAAAAAACATTTTTGTTGGTTTTATGGGTTTTCTGTGAAGGACAAGAACAGTCTGAACCAGACAGTCAAAGTGTGCGGCAAAATCAGTGGTGTTCAGACGGAGGATCTGGCCTCTGTGTGGAGACATCGTGTGCTCCAAAAGACTAAGGCCACACTGAGCCTAACCATGTCCTGCACTCACAGTTTGTGCAAATGTCCTCTGGGAGACGATATGTCACCCCACAGCAAAAGACCAACAATTACGCCAAATCTTTTATTCCTTCTGCCATAAAGCTTTTAAGTGGAAAGTAAATTTGCTATTGTGTCTCTTCTGCTTTCCCCAGAATTAAATGGTAAAATGCTGATACTGGTGATATAACTTTTATACGCAAATTTCCTGTGATATTTCTTACCACATCTCAATACCCACTTCTGTGTTTTTGACTCTTACTTCCTTCACTCAGGAGCAGGACGGTGGAGGAGCGAGACACATTTTCAGGTCTTCT